GAAAAAGGCCCTGGCAGCTGGTGCTCTGGGAGGAGAGGTCTGGCCAGGAGCAGCAGGAGTTCGCTTACCAGAGGGCAAGTGACAAGTGTCAGTAGTTAAATCAGCACATTCTTTAGCTCCAAGTTCCCCCARGGGGGTGAAGTAATGCCTGGATATCTACTGGCAGGATTAATGCAGAAGCCAAGAGGGGAGGAGGAAGGGTCCAGGTACTCGGCACAGTGCCTTACGTGTAACGTGCACTGAGTGAATATTAATGGGCAGCAGGGAAGTAGGAAGGACAGCCACAGTGGGACCAAGAGGCAGGGTTGTCTGCTGCTGTGCGACCACAGAGCCACTGCTGGCCCGCAGTCTGCTTATTCTCTGGTCATTAAGCACAGGGAGAAGAGAATGAGTGTCAACTGCTCTTTGCAGTTCACAAAATTCAAAAGGGGCCAGGCGCGGTGGTGCATGCCTGTAATTTGGGAAACTGAAGAAGGAGGATCACAAATTTGAGGCCAGCCTGGGCTACTTAGCAAGACCCTGTCTCAAAATAGAAAATAAAAAGGGCTGGAGATATAGCTCCACTACAGAGTGCCCCAGAGTTCAATCCCCAGTACTGGGGGAGAAAAAGAAGTGGTGGGGGATTAAAACTTATATCTCTTACATCTCCCGACTCCCAAATTCAAATTGTTAGGAAGAGGAATCCCCCCCCCCTTTTTTTTTTGTTGTTGTTCTTTTGTTTTTGCCAGTACTAGGGATTAAACCCAGGGCCTTAGCACATGCTAGGCAAGCACTCTACCAACTGAGCTACATTCCAGCTCCTTCTTTCTCTCTCTATATATTTTTTATTGGTCCATTATAGTTGTAAGGAAGAATTTTATTGAGTACTTGCTGGGTGCCAGACCCCATGCTGGGTCTGACATACATAGTTCATTGGTTACAGATGTCCTGAAGGGCAGGGTTTTGGGTTTTTTGGTTTGTTTTTATCCCCACCATCCAGTAAGAAATCAAGGCCAAAGAGGTACAACCATTTTTACAAGCAGTCACAGTTTATAAGTGGTAGTTGCATAATTGCATCTCTCACTCCAAAGCCTTACTTGTCTTCCTGCTATATGGCCAAGTCTGCAAAGGGATACTTGTACTCCTTAAATTGCTAAAGGCTAGGCTATTGAGGATTCCAGGTGTCTCAGACCACCCAGACACACCTATGACCCACGGGCAGGGCCTGGCTAGGTTTAACTTCACTGAATTTTCTCCCTGCAATTCTCCTCCTTTCTTCTCAGTGTTATCTGCCCTTGCTACAGACAGAGCCACCTATTACCTTCAGTTAAAGAGAAACAGCACTCTTGTTAAAGGTGGTGATGACAGATTTTACTCAGCACTGTTGTCGTAGGCAAAAGGGACTTCCCTGTAGAACTGAGCTCAATTCTGAATCCGGCAGAGGCAGCTGGGGGGTTATAACCAAAAAGCAGAGTGAGGGGGTCAGTGGATGGACAATTACTAAGAAGAGGCCTCAGGGGACCCTGGCTGAACTGGCCTAGCAGGATCGTTGCTGAAGGCAAGAGTGGGAAGTAAGGCGCTGATCAGATATCAAAAGTGATCCCATAGGGTTGCAGGATTCTTACTGAACTGATTTAGCAAGAGTCTTGCTAAAAACTGGGCAGGTCCAGGACAGGGCCCCAGGATGAGGCCTCCTGGAAAAGAGGGCAGAGAGCACCCAGCACAGGAGAGTGACTGTCACTTCCCAGCAGATGCAGGGCGCTGACAACCCACAGTGAGAGTTCACTGACCTTGGGATAAGTTGTCTTAGTGGGACTTCCAACAGTCAAAGAATTGGACCAGAGCTGAGAATTCCATGAGAAGGAACCTGCATCTGAGACATGCCTCCATGGCTACACTGATAGGGCGATGCTGTGTCTGTGGGCATTTCCTCACCACTCTCCAAAGTAGGTGGGATCTAGTCATTAAGAGCAAGGTCAAAAGAGATGACCCAGTCGTCCAAATGCAGAAGCCAAGCAGGGCCTGTCCCCCTCCTCCCTACACTGTGACTCATTTGTCATTCAAGCCCCTGCARCCCCGCCCCCCAGCCACTAGCCAACAGTTCTTTGGGGGCTGRTAAGGGAGGGGCTCTGAACTTCAGATCGCATGTTTGAGCTGGAATCGCAGGTCATCAAACCACTTGCCCCTGAGCGCCTCTGAAGATGGAGGGTACAGGTCCGAGAGCGTTCTTCCTCTTTCTTCCTCTTTCTCCCTTATTTCCCGTGTTTCCACTTCACCTCACTGTCCCCTGCACCCAGCTTCTCCAGAACATACCCCTGCACTGAACTCCTCTGGCCTATTTTAGACGGCTGGCCAGCCAGCCATGAAAACAAGAGAGACCTCGATGGCAGCAGGATAAACCTGCGCTCATTCCTATAACAGGAGCAGAGGTGGAATGTCTGCAGAAACCCAAAGGCATAGGTTTGCCACTAAGGCATGTGGGATAGAGTTCTGTYTCATATAGTCCTGGGCATTAACTAGCCCTATTTTTGAACACTGGGCTCCTCTTTAAAAAAAAAAAAATTAAAGTTGTTCTTTTTAGATGTACTTGACAGTAGATTGTATTTTGACACATACATACTGGGAGTATAATTTATTCTAATTAGGATCCCATTCTTGTGGTTGTTCATGATGTGGAGTTTCACTGGTTGGTGTGTTCATATACGAACATAGGAAAGTTATGTCTGATTCATCCTACTGTCTTTCCTGTTCCCATTCCCCCTCCCTTCCCTTCATTCCCCTTTGTCTAATCCAATGAACTTCTATTCTTCCCTCCCAACCCCTTATTGTGTGTTAGCATCCATATATCAGAGGGAACATTAGACCTTTGATTTTGGGGGATTGGCCTATTTCATTTAGCATAATACTCTCCAGTTCCATCTGTCTCTTGGCAAATGCCATAATATCATTTTTCTTTATGGCTGAGTAATATTCCATTGTGTATATGTACCACATTTTCTTTATCCATTCATCTGTTGAAGGGCACCTAGGTTGGAACTGAACTACCTGTTCAGTTCCTTTGCCCGTTTATTGATGGGGTTTGGTCTTCTCTTACCCCGTCTGTAAAATGGGAGTAATCAGACCTGGCCTATCTCATGAAGTTCTTAGAAGGCTCAAATGAAATTGTGCCTGTGAAAAGCCTCATAAACATGAAGGGGCCGCACAAAACAAAAACCGTGGAAGAGAAGCACCCCCTCTCTACCCCTGCCTTCCAGTATGTGACTCTCTATCTTCAGCCATTCCCAGAGTTACCATAAGACTCTTGCACACCGTCGATGCCACTTTCTGGGAGGCCCACGTTTGCAGTTTGTGCTCTTCATTCTGTGTCTGGTGGCTACCTGTGACTCTGCTAATGCTCACCTAGGGATCCTGTGACACYTCAGCTTACTGCCAGCTGTTGGCTCCTGATGGTGGGTGACTGTCAGTCTCCTTTTGTGCAGTGCCCAACTCCTGTGTGGCAGGCATTCACTTTACCACTGAGCTACATCCTCGGCCTCGTGGGGCATGTTAATGAAGCTGTGGGGAGAGAAGRAGCAGCCCAGTGGAAATCTACCTGACCACGAGGGGTCTAGTTTTATTTTCACAATTTGCTAAGTGAACTTAGCTTTGTCATTTCACCAGCCTGGGTCCATTTTCCTCATTGGAATGAAAGACCCATCTAGATCTTGATGGCCCATGATTCCCAGGTAGGACTAGCAGCTGTTTGGGCCCCACAGTCATGCCTGAGAGCGCTTCTGACAGGAAGGAAGCTCTGGCCTCTGGTGAGTAACAGTAGTTGATCACCAGACTCTGGTTCTCTCCCGCCCTCACCCCGGTGCAGCCCCTGCCTCTCGGCTTGTTGAGGAATGCGTGCACGCACCCCAGTAGTTTCCTCTTCCCTCCCTCCCTCTCACCGTCTTTTGGCTTTTTGCCTTCCCAGATGTGTATAAGCCAAATGGTTCCAAAGCCTTCAGGAGGCAAATGACATTGGTCACAGATAGCTTCCAAGTCAATCCAGGCTTCACCAGGCCTCTGACCTTATATCTCCAGCAGTTTATAACTCCAAGCCTATCCTTCTTGGTCTCTCCCAGCTCTGGTTTTGTCCCACAACCCATCAATTAATGGTGGGGTAGGCAGAGAGCCTCCCCTACCCACTAGAATCCCCTGCTGCTTCCCTGGAGGGGGATGAAGCTGGAGGAAAGAGAGCACTTCTTTTTTTTATATATCTATTTTTTTCGTTGTTGATGACCTTTATTTCACTTTTTTTGTATATGGTGCTGAGAATCGAACCCAGTGCCTCACACATGCTAGGCGAGCACTCTGTAGTAGTTCTACTGCCTGAGAGCACCACCCCAGCCTGAGAGCACTTCTTTCAATGTCCATCTCTCATAGTAGCATTTGGGAAGAAATCGGTCTCCAGGGGCACCTGGGGAAGAATCTCAGCCTGCAGTGAGTCAGCAGTGGTAGACTGATGGTCACACCTGGCCTGGCTCTTGTGATTTCTGGAAGGTAGCGGATTCTTTTTTCAGGGAGGGTACTGGGGATTGAGCCCAGGGACCCTTTACTATTAAGCTACTCTAGCCAAGCTCATTTCCTCTTTCCACCCTGTGGACCTTGGCCAAGGTTTTTGTTTGTTTGTTTGTTTTGGAAGTGGGGTACTGGAAGTTGAACCCAGGGGCTTAACCACTGAGCCACATCCCCAGCCCTTTTTATTTTTTTAAGTTGCTTAGGGCCTCACTGAGTTGCTGAGGCTGGCCTCAAACTTGTGATCCTCCTGTCTCAGCCTTCTGAGTTCCTGGGATTACAGGCATGCACCACCACTCCCAACTTGGCCAAAATTTTAATGATCTCTTGCCCCACCCACTTCATGCCTACCCTATGAAGGGGGGTGAGGAGCAGAAGGGAAGATAATTACTTGTACTATCTCCATCCCTCCAAGCTTACAGATTTATGAGGTCCTCAAATTATGTTGACCTTACTTTTCTATTTGTTCCTTTCCCTAGGGTATGGCAGCTGGAGAGAACTGGCCAAGGCTCTGGCCAGCAGGAACATCCCAGCTGTGGATCCCAATCTTCAATTCTACCGTCCCCAGAGGCTGACCCTCAAGGTATGTGGCAGGGGCTGCACCTTTCCCTGCTGGTGTGTTAACATGGGCCCTCAGTTGTTCCACCTCCCTTGGCTTTAGGGAAACCTCTGCTCTGTCCTGTGAGAGACAGAGGAGAAACAAGTAGTTCAATCCCAGTCTGCCATCTGGGATTTCCTGGTTGAGCCCATCCTGCCCTCCTCAAAACCTGGTGCTAGCACTAGGCCTGGCTTTCCTATTTCTGTCTTTGCCGCATTATTCAAGCCACCTTGCAATCTAACCTGCTCCATGCATGCAGCCTCCCAAGTCAACCCGCACGTCTTGGTGCTAGGAGTGCAGCTCAGTGGTAAGTGCTTGYCTAGCACTGTGAGACCCTGCATTTAATCCCCAACACCACAAAAAACAAAAAATAAAAAACAAAAACAAAAAAAAACCAAACAGGCATCATGGTGGTGCATGTCTGTAATTCCAGTGACTCCGGAGGCTGAGCCAAGAGGATTGCAAGTTTAAGTCTAAGTTTGGCCATTTAGCAAGATCCTGTCTCAGAATAAAATAAGAGAGCTAGGGTGTTAGCTCAGAGGTAGAGAGTTCCTGGGTTTCATCCCCAGTACTTGAAAAAAAGAAAGAAAGAAAAGGCAAATCAAATAGCATGTCCTGCCTTTTCCTGTTATGGAGACTGAACTGTCCCTTAGTGAAAATAACCAGATGCTTGCTGCCGAAAGCCAGAGGACAAGCTAGACAGACATCCCTCCCTGCACATAGCTGGGTGTGCGGTTTGTAATGGGGCGGCATTTTGCTTGATTTAGGAAATTCCTGCAGTGTTTCTTGAGCCAATGATAGGTTGGGGAAGTTGGGGTCCAGCTCAGTCTGGAGGCCCTAATCGAATATGCAACAGACATGGATACCTAAGACTGGACCAGAACCAAAGTGAATCTGTGGACCTGCATGTCAGGGAGGATTTGTACTGGAGGGGCTCCCACTTACTGAGACAAGTAGTGACAAATCTGGGCACAGCCCTGGGGGAGGTAGAGGAAGAAGGAGTCAAAGCCCCTGCCCTCAGGAGGCCCTGATTTAATTAGGAAAAAAAMCACTTTTCTCCATATGGGACAAATTGAGAAAATCTCAAAGCTCGGGAGCATATGCAGATGACACTGTTAAGGACATATTCTCCTGAGGAATATGTGTAAGTGATTGGGAGTGTCCCTTAGGTCAGAAGCTTCCTGGGGGCAGGGACTGCTTCCCCACAGGTACTTTCAAGGGTCCCTGAATCCCATTTTGTTCCCAGGTTCTCACCCTAATATTCTCACAAAGTTCATTCTTTGTTCTTCCACTAGGACCAAGAAATTGGCCAAAGTGGGAACAGTAACAACAGCTACTTGAGGTGGAACAAACCCGTACCCTGGCTCTCAGAGGTAAGGGACTCTTGTTTGACAGGATTATTATTAATATCATTTTTTAAAAATTAACAGATAATTCCAGAGATCATGGAAAACTTTCTCCTAGGGAGTATGACTGTTTGCCCCTGGGGTTCCCAGTTCATTTGATTTTCTTCCCTTAGAGAAGAAGCCCTGACATTTGCTCACGCCTACTATGTGCCAGGTCTGCATATCATCTGATGCCGCTTTTGGACCTTGTAAGGTAGTACCTTGGTGTCAGTCAGCTTTCCATTGCTGACATAAAGGACTCACAGGGAGGAAAGGTTTATTTTGGCTCACACTTTCAGAGGTTTCAGTCCATGTCACTTGGTCCCTTGCTTCTGCTTGGAATGAGGCAGTACCTCATGGTGGGAGCTTGTGGCAGAGGAGGCCTGTTCGCCTCATGGCAGCCGGAAGCAAAGAGCAGGAGGAAGGGGCCAAGGTCCCCATATCCCCTAACCATCTAACTTCCCACCCTGCCTCCGAAAGGGTCCTCCACCTCCCAGTAGGGCCGCAGGCTGTGGACCGACCATATGGGCCTTTGGGAGACATGGCAGATCCAAACTATAGGAATCATAATCCTTGTTTTATAGGTGGGAAAAACAAAGCTCAGGAAAATTACGTGACTTTCATGCCCAGGCCAATCCCYAATCTTAAAGATTTAACAAGTTTCTCTTGGACCATTAAGTCCCATAAGATATTCCAGGAAGAAAGGAGTTTATTGTTAAATGAGTTAAACAAAACAAAACTGTGTACTACATCCTCTTCTTGCAAATGGACATTAGCATATGAAAGATCCTGAGAAGTTCTGCAGTCATCTATTCAGTTTGGTTGAGCTCAGCGTGGTCCAACTTATGTGCCCCCAAATTGCTTGTTCCATGAACTGTCTATTAATATTCTATGATGCTAGGGTTATAAGGAATATGCATGAGGAACTCTGCTTTACAAAATGTCTTAKGAAACAGTTAAATGTGTGAATAAAAATCATAACCAACCGGGAAAGGTGTGTTCACTAACGCTGCATAAACAAAAAAGCACAACCATCCTCATACACTTTATTTATAGGCTTTAGTACTCTTTTCTTTTGAGTAAGAGATGGAGGCTCAAGGAAATTACTGAGCACACCCAAATAACGTCCGGTCAATGCCTGTGCTAAGACTTAGGACATGGTGCTTTGGGGATGAAAATTTTAAATTGGGTTTTATTTTAGTTTRGTTAGAATCCAGTGTCTTTTTGTCTCCAGGCCAGTGGACCTAGGTTTCTTTTCTTGATTGGGTGGTGTTGGCCAGCTCATTGTCTTCAGCCACACCTATCGCAGCTGATCTCTTTAGCCTGGGTGGTTTTATTTCCAGTCTACCCGCTTGCTCTGGGCAGGAGGGAAGGAGGCAGTACGGTACCAAATGCGTTGTTAGGTTAGCCACCCTGTGAAGCCGCCTCTTTTGAAAACCCTGAGAGAGGATGGATTACATTACTGGCACACTTGTACTAGGTGACATCACCAGGTAACTGTGCCCTGCCCCATCTGGAGATAGCGTTTTGAAAAGAAATTCTCCTACAAATCATTTGGTCTGGTGATATAGTCCTCTCTTGAGGGCAACTTGGATCATTTTTCTTAATGAACCAACTATTTTAAAAGGTTATACCGACACACTATTCTGCATTTACTAATAATTAATTTCCCCCAATTTTTTTGCAAAAGATATAAATATATACATGTGTGAATATGTAATAAAACAAAAACAGTGAACAAAAAGTAAATAATAATTAAAATAGAATTAACTTTTTTAAATTTTGAGACAGGGTCTCACTAAGTTGCTAAAGCTGGCCTCAAACATGTAATCCTCTTGCCTTAGACTCCTGAGTCACTGCAATTACAGGTGGCATCACCCATCAGGATTAATTTTTTAAAGAAATGTTTGAATCTGGGCATGGTGGTACCCACCTGTAATCCCAGCAATTTGGGAGGTTGAGGCAGGAGGATCACAAGTTTGAAACTAGCTTTAGCAATATAGCGAGACCTTGTCTCAAAATAAAAATAAAAATAAGGCCAGGCACAGTGGCGTACACCTRTAATCCCCCATGACTCAAGAGGCTGAGGCAGGAGGATCACAAGTTCAAAGCCAGCCTCAGCAATGGCAAGGCTGAGACTCTGTCTCTAAATAAAATATAAAATAGAGGTGGGGATGTGGCTCAGTGGTCAAATGCCCCTGAGCTCAATCCCTGGTACCAAATAAAATAAAATAAAAAGGGTTGAGAGTGTGGCTCAGTGGTAGAGCACCTCTGGGTTCYATCACTAATATATTGAAAGGAAAAAAAAGAAACTTGATATTTTAGTACACGCGTATGACCTTTTGGGGGTGGATGACTGGTTTCCATTGCATGTTTTTTTTTTACATAGTAAAAGAAGCTTAGAAAAATCCTTATTAGTACTTGGGTGAGATGTACATACCTGTAATCCCAGCTGCAAGGAAGGCTGAGGCAGGAGGAAAAGAATCCCACGTACAAGGTCAGCCTGTGCAATTTAGGGAAACCTTGTCTCAAAATAAAAAGGGCTGGGGATGCAGCTCAGTGCTTGCCTAGAATGCATGAGGCCCTGAGTTAAATTCCCAGTACCACAAAGTAAATAAGTAAAATGAAAGTATACAGTTCAGTAGCTTTTAGTATATTCAGAGAGCTGTGCATCCCTCATAGTCAATTTTATTGTTGATTACTTCTAACAGAAACCCTGCTCTCCCTAGCTACATCCCCTTTCCCCACCCTCATCTCCCACCCTTAGCCATCTACTTTCGCTCTCTCTGGATTTGCCTGTTCTAGATACTTCATGGAAATGGAATCATACGATATGTGGTCCTGTGTCTGCTTCATTATCTAGTGTGTTTTCAAGGTTCATCCATGTCACAGCAGGTGTCGGTATGTCACTCTTATGGCTTCATTAAATGCCATTGCACAGATCAGCCAACTTTGTAAAAAACTCTCCAACTAAGACAACAAAAGGGGTGTTTTATTGTAGATGTGTTACGCTTGCCCATGACTGAAAACAGAAAGCCACAGGTCTGGGGATGTTTTGTATGAGCAATGGGCCTCCTAGAGGTGGTCTTGGTGATGCAATGGTGGTGGGAGTTCTCTCCCCTGAGAGAGTTCTGGTCCTCAGCATGCCGTCCATCAGCTTGTACCAGCTCCCCGGCCTCTGGCATTCCTTAGTTCTGCTTCTTTGGATTCCATGGGCCCACGAGCTACGGTTTGCTTGGACCTCTCCCTACTTCTGCACTTCAGCCAATCGCTTCTTCACATGGCCCTCAGGGCTCAAAAATTTCTAGGAAGATGGTGCTAAGGTACTACATTTTATCTATCTGTTGGTAGACATTTGGGTTGTTGGGGCTTTTGGGTTTTTTTTTGTTTTGTTTTTGCTATTTTGAAAAATGCTGCTGTGAGTATTTATGTGTAAGTTTTTGTATGGATCAGGCTTTGCTGTTTTCAGATCTCTCAATCACCATCATTGTAGTTTGTCTTATATTCTGTACGTTTTAAAAAAAWTTTTGTGGTGCTGGGGTAGATTGAACCCAGGGCCTCACACATTCTTGTCAAGTGCTCTACCGTGGAGCCACATCCCCAACTCTTTCATCTTTGRCTGGTGGAAGGCACTTGGTGCTTATAGAATAAAGGCAGGGACATGTTGTTCTGGGCTCAGCTTCTGCAAGCATTTGTTCGTTCAGTGATTAAGATGTGCTGGGGGCACCAGGGAGGGCTATTGACTCTTCCTGGGGAAGGAAGAGAATACTTCAGAGAAATCCTTGAGAAGAGCTCAGAAGAATGAATAGGAGTTTGACACATGGGAAACCTGATAGGACCTTTCCATCAGGAAATGGCATTTATAAAAGCAGAAGTCAAGAGCGGGACACTTTAGGCAAAGACAGACAGTTTGGTGTGGGTAGAGTGTAGGTATGATCAGGAGGAATGTGAGGTGAGACTGGCAAAGTAGRTCAATCCGAAAGGCCAGGGAGAGGTTTTTGTTTTGTTTTGTTTATTATACTGGAGATTGAACCCAGAGATGCTTAACCACTGAGCCAAATCCCCAGCCTTTTTTATTTTTAATTTTAAGACAGATTCTAAGTTGCTTAGGGCACCTGAGTTGCTGAGGCTGGCCTTGAACTTGTGATCTTCCTGCCTCAGCTTCCTGAGTTGCTGGGTTTACAGGTGTGCATCACTGTGCTGAGCCACGGAAAGAGAGGTTTTGTTCCAAAGCTGCCTGGAGGTTTAAGCAGCAGGGCAGCCTGATCAGATTTGTTTTAGAATGATAATTCTAGAGACACTGAGAGGACTCATTGGAAGGGAAGAAGCTGAGATCCACACAGGTCTGCTGCAGGCCTGGCAAGCTTGGCCATGGTCCAGCAGAGGCCGGATCAAGACCGTGAATGTTCCAGTGTGAGGACCCAACAAGCTGGCCTCACCCTTTTGATGCATACCCGCTTTAAACCCTCCCCATTTCCACAGAGTTAATTGCTGTGTGTCCTTGGGGAGTCACTTTGCCTCTTTAAGCCTCAATAACCTCACCTCTAAAATGAGACCATTCCAAGAGTATCTTCTCCACTATTTCTCACTGGAAGTTCCAGAACCATAATTGGCCATAGATTTGCTGTGGCACTTGGAGGAACCCCTGCCCTTCCCTTAGCCCCTACTGGACAGGGAGAGTGTGAGCAGAAGGCAGGACTGGTGTGCTGGAGTCCCATATCCCTGCTAGATATAAAATCCCCCACACTTGGAGGGACACAAATCCAGGTAGGGTTCCCAGTCCAGGCCTGGGAAGGAGGAGGGTACCGACGCTTCCCTGGGATAACCCTATCTATAGCCAAGGGTAGGGCAGGCCCAGTTCGAAGGCTAGCCTGATGCTGGTCAGGGTCTAGACTCCCCAGGAAATGGCCAGCCCTTTTCCAGCAGTCCCACCTCTCCTGGTCTGGCTGCCCCAAAGCGCCCCAGGTTCCCATTCCTAAAGCAAGAAAGRCCCTGAGGGGCAGGGGCAGGTGGCCGGCCAGCCTCCCTCCTTCCCCCACCCCAGCCCCCTGCAGCCTCTGACTTGCAGGCTGCACACAGTGGACTTCTCTGGTGGCCTGCCCTCTCCCCTTGCCCTCCCTCTCAGTTTCTGGATCTGCCCTGAAATCTCCCAGGGAGGAGGCAGAGAGCAGGCCGTGGGGAGGAGACAACTGAGTCTTATAAACTGGACTTGAGGAATTTCCCCAGAACTAACACAATGTCCCCTTTCTTTGCTTCCTTGAAGGCTTTAACCCGCCTCCCACCTACCCAGCCCACATGCCCTCTCCCACCCACCCCAGCCCCCAACTCATATTCCTGGGACTAATGGCTGCTTCCCAAGGTCCCACATTCCTAGCATTGACCAGGCCAGCGGGCCCAGGAAGGGCCGAGTTGCTGAAGGGTCAGGGAGGGACAGGCTGCCCCGTGTCTTTTCTGGATCCAGTTATTGGGCCATGTGACCCCCAAGGCCATGGCCATCCCGCCAGCCACACCCAGATCTCTGGCTGCTGAGGAGCTGCTGCCCTTCTGCCCTCCCTCCCTCCCCTCCCTCCTGCTGCTTCCTTCCGTCTGGGCATCCGTTTGGGTGTCCCTCCCACCTCTGCCCAGGTTTCCTAAGGGCAGCTCAGATTTTGGTATCTGATGGGCCACAAAGGGGAGGGACAGACTGGGCCTGTTTGCATAGTGTGATTAATTGAGGCCCCGGCACCTGGAGATGAAGCTCTGGGGACAGGGAGGAGGAAAGAGCCGAGCGAGGGAAATCTGAAACTCTGGATCTTCTGGGACAGCATCCCTGCGTCCCCTTTTCTCTTGAACTTTCGGCCCTTCCACCCACCCTGGGTACTGGTTTCTGCCTTAGCCCTTTCTTCTGAAGGGGGCCTCTACTCCAGGCCTTCAGGCCAGTCCCGTCCCTGATCAGTGCCCTGGCCTGAAGGGGACAGACTGCTTCTACCTATCAGCGCTGCATGAGAGGCTTCTGAGTGCCTGGGAGAGCCGCGGGAGGCCCCGCGTGGGAGAAGCCCATAGGGCCCCCAGATACCTCCCGTAGCTCTTTACCAGCTGCTCCCCCAACCCCAGCCAGAAGCGTGAAGACCACTGTGTAGATAAGGTTTCACCYGCAGACAGCTGTGAGGCTTTCCTCCCATCAGGAGGTGGTAGAGGCAGTGGAGGGGAGCAAGTTCTGAGCTGAAATCCAGCTTAGCTCCTCCTCCTAGCTCCCTATCATCTCTGCTATTCTGTCATGGCTATTACCACCCTCCCTTGCCTGGGGAATGCAAACTAGCCCACTTCTTGCATGAAATGAGCAGGGTGTGTGTGTGTCTGTGTGTCTGTGTGTGTGTGTGTGTGTGTGTGTATTTGCACATGCATGGCTGGAAAGACAGACCCATCCTTAGGCCAGGCTGTGGAGGTTGTATTAGTCAGCTTTCCATCCCTGTAACAAAAATACCCGAGATAATCAACGTACAAGGAAAAAAGGTTTATTTTGGTTTATGATTTCAAAGGTTTCAGGCCATGTCACTTGGCCCCTTGTTTTTGGGCTTGTGGTGAGGCAGTCTATCATAACGGGAGCATGTGGCAGAGGAAAATCGTGCCTCCTTGTGGCAGCCAGGAAGMAAAAAGCAAGAGAAAGGGTCCAAGGCCCCAATGTTCCCATCAAGGGGACATGCCCAGTGACCTAACTTCCATTCACGAGGCCTCACCTCCTAAAGGTCCACCACTTTCTATTTGCACCATCAGTGAGGACCAAGTCTTCACCACAGGGCCTTTGGGGGTGTCACTGATCCAAACTGTGGCGGTTCCTGAGAGGAGCTGGGGCTGCCAGATAGGAACGGAGGCATGACCACGAGCCGCACCTCACAGGAGCCCTGGCTTGGCCTCTCCGTGTTCCTGGAGTCGTGGAGCCACGGGACATGGGTCAGGTGCTCACACTCACCCACCATCCTCTTCTMCGTCTAGTTCCGTGGCCGCGCAAACCTGCACGTGTTTGAAGATTGGTGTGGCACTTCCATCCAGCAGCTCAGGAGGAACCTCCATTTCCCACTGTACCCGCACGTGAGTGCCTGCCAGGCAACCCTGCCTGCCTCCCTCCACCCCGGTTCCTCTGCCCCGTTCCTGTCTCTCATCTTCTGCTTCCTTCCTCTTCCTTTGATTCTTTTCTGGTCCACATTCTTCCCTTGATCTCGTGGGTCTTCCCTTCCTCTGCCAGGAATACCTCTGTTGTTCCTTCCCAGGGATTCTTTCAATTCCTCTACCACCTTCGGCATCATTTCAGTTTCAGTTATCCTAGTGGCTCAGAATCTAGTTGACTCAAAGCCACCACAGATAGTTGTGCAGGGTGTGCACTGCAGAAGGTCACTGGAATGAAGAGGCAAGTGGGAGCTGAAATCTGCGCTCTGCTGGCCAAGCCACACCCTTGGTCCCGTCCGTCTCTCTCCCCTTCTGGTTTTCCCTGAGTAGATCAGTTTGCTCAATTTCCTCTTCCCACTTCTGAGTTAGGGTCCTTCCGTTTTCCTCCCRTAGATCCGCACAACCCTGAGGAAGCTGGCCGTGTCTCCCAAATGGACCAACTATGGCCTCCGCATCTTTGGCTACCTGCACCCTTTCACTGATGGTGAGGCACCTCGAAGCCCCGTCCTCCTTTCTGTTCCAGAATTCTGCTGGGGACTCAGAGAACATGAGCCCTTAGTGGGGACATAAACCTGCTGTTGACTGACTGGACCCTCACCAGAGGACAGGGGAAATCGAGTCATGGCGAGGACCCATCCAGATCCCCCTGGGGCTGCAGCCTCTCTCCCTGTCTGTATTCTGGAGCTAGCTGGATTCTCCATCTCCACACTGCCCCCAGGATATAGAAACACCCCCCAGCCAGGCAGGGTAGCCCACACCTGGGATCCCAGCAACTTAGTGAGATCCTGTCTCAAATTTTAAAAAATGAATAAAAAGGACTGGGTGGTGGAGCGTGATGGACACGATGACCCTAGGTCCATGTATGCCTGCATCAATGGTGCAATGCTGCATCACGTACAGATGAAAAGTTGTGCTGAGATTGTGTACGATGAATCCAAATGCATTCTGCTGTCAAAAATACCTAATTAAAATGAATAAATAAATTCATTAAAAGGAAAAAAATGACAAAGAACTGGAGATGTAACTCAGTGGTAAAGGGCCCCTGGGTTCAATCTCCAGTGCCAAAAAAAAAAAAAAAAGAAGAAGAAGAAAATGTAGAGACCCTCACTCTAGAAAGAGGGAAGCCTCCGCACCAAGTCCCCTGAAAGGAACTTATCAAGTCCTAACAAAACACCTTCAACTCTATGCAATGCCTTCTTTGCTTTTACTTGGACATTCTCTCCCCACTGCCCAGGGAAAATCCAGTTTGCCATTGCTGCGGATGACAACGCTGAATTCTGGCTGAGCCGTGACGACCAGGTCTCAGGCCTTCAGCTGCTGGCCAGTGTGGGCAAGGTAGGGATGCCGTGGCCCCAGGAGCTCTCCCAGGGGTCCCAGGATCATTACTGTGAGCAACGCTGGTGTGAAGAAGGGGTGAAGAGGAGCGTGAGCTCTCACCCTACCCCATGCCACAAAGGGGTAGAGTGAGGAGTCAGAGTCTGGGGCCCCGAGAAGGCCCATCTCTGCACCGGGACCAGGCACAGACGTCTTTGGGGTTGTAGGCTCCTGAGCTCTGTGCTGAGACAGGACTTCGGCTCTGAGCTGGCTGACAGCTTGAGGCCTCTTCTAGCCATGGTGGGAAGTGCCTTCCCTGAGCCGACCAGCCCCCTCCCTCCTTGATTCTCCTCTGTTTTCTATCGCTTTCATCTTTACTCTTTCCCTCTCGCTTTTCTCCTTTCTGCCTCTTCCGTCTCCACTCATCACCTCCCATCCTTCTTCATTGTGTTCTCTATTTTTCCTTCTCTTCTCTCTCTCCCSACACCTCTAGACTGGAAAGGAATGGACGGCCCCTGGAGAGTTTGGGAAATTTCGAAGTCAAATTTCCAAGCCAGTAAGGTGAGTAGAGAGGGTTACAATAAATATTCTTTTTTAACTTTATCTTATTTTTTTTTTTAAATATGGTGTTGAGGAATGAACCCAGTACCTCACACAGATCAGGCAAGTGTTCTACCATTGAGTGAGCCCACCCCAGCCCACGACGGACATCATGAGGTGCCTAATGGCTCAGGCCACATCTGAGTGAGAGAGCCCAACTTTCCACCATCCCAGCCTTCCTATTCCACAGGCTCAGGGTGCCCTGGTACCCACACTCTCTGGAGTCTTTGAAACCATTCGATCTGTCCTTCCTCATTTTACAGATGAGSAAACTGAGGCCAAAGATGGCTTGTGACTTCTTGAAGGTCACACAGCTGTTCAGTAATACTCAGGCCTGGAAAAGGTCTCCGTTCTCCTGGCCCTCCTTCTTCCCATTTTCTTTGTCCCTGGAAACACCCAGACTTGTGACATCCTTGACTGGTGGCTCTGCCTGGGCAACCGGGAATTTCTTTGGGGAACTGCAGATCACCTGGCGGTGAAGATCCCTGGGTAGTCTGGAGGGAAAGCAATGATAGCTGGAATCTAAGGTGCTGCTGAAAAGGAGGGTTTGGCCCGACTTCAGAGCACCACCTGGCGGCCTGTACAAGCATTGGCTTGAAAATGATAATTGGGGCTGGACACAGTGGTAGAGCACCTGCCAGATCCGTGGTTCCACCCTCCGCACCAAAAAAGAAAAACAAACAAAACAATAGAAGGGAAAAGAAGACCACCTGGCTTGCCAAGAGCTCTTAATACGTGCCAGCTGTTAGAGTGAGTGCTTCCTGTAGAATTCAGCCCATCAGCGAAGGACKCGAACTCTGAAGCAGGGCTGCCTGGGTTCGAAGCCCCCACTCCTGCTTACTACCTCCGAGACTCTGAGAAATTACCCAGAGTTTGTGACTCGGTGTCAGTATATGTCAAGCACTTAGAGTAGCAGGCACAGGCTGCTCCTAACAGTGAACGRGTTGTTCCTCTGCTGGAGACCCCCAGTTATCCTGTGAAGTGAGGACTATGATTACCCACTGACAGAAGAGATCACACAGTTAGTAAGTGCTAGGGTGGGGCCTCTAACCCCAGGGATTAAAAAAAGGCAGGCTGCTGGGATTCTCAGAGCAGGGGAGAGGGGTGAGGGTGGTGACCTGGGGACTGAGGCKCGGTCTCCCCATTTCCCTGCTCTCCCTTCTGCCAGCCTCTCAGCCTCCCACAGGTACTACTTTGAGGTGCTGCACAAGCAGAACGACGAGGGCACCGACCACGTGGAGGTCGCGGTGAGTGCCCTGCTCTCCCTGCCAACCCCGGCTCAGTTCCTGGCACTTCCCCGCTCTTGTCCCTTGAACCCTGTCCAGAGTCCAGCTACCTCTAATCCCTCACAACCTCCTCTCTCCTTTCCCAGTGGCGAAGGAATGACCCTGGAGCCAAGTTCACCATAATTGACTCCCCTTCCTTGTCCCTCTTCACAAGTGAGTAAGCTCTACCCTGGACCGGAAATGGGGGCTGGGGTGCCCGTGCATGGGGCTTGGCACACCTGGGGAATGTGGTCCAGGGTGAGGTGGGAGGGGTAGGGGCTAAAGTGCTTGGGACATGGTATGAAGGTCCAAAGCAATGAGCAGAACCTAAGGGACCTTACTGTCAGGGGGTCTTTCATTTTCCAGAGTCAACAACCCCTGTAAAATCCTGCTGGGAGCTCTCTGAGCACTCTCTTTAGAGCAGTGCCATTGCCAGGCATGGTGTCACAGGCCTGTAATCCCAGTGGCTGAGGCAGAAGGATTACAAGTCTGAGGTCAGCTCAGCAACTTGGCGAGGTCTTATGCAACTTAGTGAGACCCTGACTCAAAATTTAAAAAAAAAAAGGATTGGGAATGTAACTCAGTGGCAGACCGCCCCTAGATTCAATCCCCAGTACCAAAAAAGTAAAAAGAAAAAAAAAATTAAGTAAAAAGAGGGGTTAGGGGTATAGCTCAGTAGTAAAGCACTTGCCTAGCATGCATGAGGCCCTGGGTTTAATCTCCAGCACTGAAAAAAGAGAGAGAATCCACACAATGGAAGAAAATATGTACAAATCATGTATCTTATAAGGGACTTTCCTTTTCTTTGTGGTACTGGGGATGGAACCCAGGGGCACTATATCACTGAGCCACATCCCCAGCTCTTTTTACTTTTTATTTTGAGACAGGGTCTCACTAAGTTTCCCAGGCTGGCCTGGAACTTGGGGATCCTCCTGCCTCAGCCTCCTGAATCACTGGGATTACAGGTGTGYGCCGCCACATCTCACTCCAGTCCCTTAATTGCAACCCTGGTTCTTGCAAAGCCAAGGCAAGAGAAGAAGAAACAGTAATCTCCTTTAACTTTGTAGGAAATGAACTCTTTAGTTGTATTTTTTACTGCTTATCATTTCCTTATCAAGATTTGTATCTGGAGACCCCACTAAAAATAAATATGGTGGGATATGGGGGGTGTGGCTCTCTGGTGCTTACCTAGCATGCGCAAGGTCCTGGGCTTCCTCCCCAGCAACACCCTCCCCCCGCCAAATCCGTGGACTTCCATGGCAGGTGCAAGAAAAGTAGGCAGGTCTAGAACCCCATGGGAGGATGGGAAAGGCATGCCCAGGGAAACTGTTGTGATGGTGGGAAGTCAGTGTGTTGGGTGGAGACAGAACAGGACAGTCTGGGCTCATGGGAGAAGGTGGCATGGTTGGTGGAGGACATTGCTGGTGACCAAAGTAGAAGGCCAAAGGTCAGGGCAGAGGGTACAGGTCATGAGATGCTGGGATAGGGCAAGAGGATGAAGGGGTGTTGGAATCCACAGATTCAATGTGAACCAAGAAAGAGGCCCATAGCAAAGTTCAGGTAAGAACGAGTAAGGGGCGCCAACAGTAGCTAGCCGTGGGTGTAGAAGGAAGAACTCTATCATGCTATCTGGGGCTGAAGACAAAAAAAAAAAAAAAAAACAGAGGGCAGAGAAAAGCAAGCAGACCCCAAGTGGTGTGGTTAGAAAAGAGATGAGGTCAGCTGGGGATTTGGCTCAGTGGTGAAAGCTCATTTGCAGACCTCTAGGTTCAATCCTCAGTATTGCAAAAACAAAGCAGAACAGAACAGAAAAGGTCAATATGCATGAACTTGGTAAAGACACCAGAGGCTGATCTCCTATTTTGGCTGTTGGGAGCTGTTCTTCACACTAGGGGGCGCCCTACTCATTGTGGTTGTTRATTTGCATGCAGTCTTTGAGGCCTCATAACACAGGTGCTAGAACTCTATTGCCTGGGTTCAAGCTGGGATTTCCCACTTGCAGTTGTGTGATCTTAGGCAAATGACTTAGATTCTTATACTGAAGTCTGTAAAATAGAAATAAATATAGTACCAGTTGAGCATACCTAATTTGAAAATGTGAAATCTGAAGTGCTCTGAAATCCAAAACATTTTATTATTTTAATTTTTTGCATTACTGGTGATTGAACCCAGGGGCACTCTACCACTGAGCTACATCTCTAGCCCTTTTTAGTTTTTGAAACAGGGTCTTGCTAAGTTGCCAGCCCAGCTTCAAACTTGCAATCCTCCTGCCTCAGCCTCCTGAGTTGCTGTGATTACAGACAAACACAGCTGAAATCCTGAAAGTTTTAAGCACCTGATGGATTTTTGGACTGGAGATGCTCAAGTATGCAAATCCTCCAAAATCCAAAGAACTCCAAAATCTGAAACACTATTTCAGATAAGGGATACTYCACCTATACCTAAGTCATATGGTAGTTTTGAAGATTAAATGGATGAATATTTGTAAGACACTTGAAATAGTACAAAATAAATACTATATAGGTGTTGGTTAAATAAATATAATGGGAACTTTCTATAAGATAGCATTAATCCCATTTTGTGAAAAAATAACAGAGCACATCTTGGACTGCACCTTCTAGAATACAGGAGCTGTCAGGGTCCCTTCCCTTGTCCCTCAAAGGCAAGGAGGCGGGATTCTTCTGAGACTCACAGCTTCCTTCTCTTCTTTCTTCCCTGGGCCAAGATGAGACCATCCTAAGGATGGATGAGGTGGGTCACATCCCACAGACGGCAGCCAGCCACGTGGGCTCCTCCGACTCCTTTGCCAGAGATGAGCAGCCTCCTGCTGACATGCTTCGGCCTGACCCTCGGGACACCCTCTATCAAGGTAAGACTGGCCACATGCCACCTGGAGGCAGCACACTGCCAGTTCCCTCTGTGTTGATGGAGGACACTCAGGAGACTGGGCCATTCTACCACAATATCCCAAAAGTCCCAGGATCTTTCCCCCTTGTATACAATAGAACATGCATACAAGAAAGCACAAAGATATTTACATCCAATTTGACATTTCTTTGTTGTTGTTGTTTTGTGCTGCTATAAACAAACCCAAGGCCACGTGCTAGTCAAGTGCTCTACCACTGAGCTACATTCCCAACCCTTTTAAGATTTTTTTTCTTTTGAGACAGGATCTCACCAAGTCCAATTTTACAATTCTATAAATTATTACAGAGCAAATATATCTGTATGACCACTACCCAGGAAAAGAAATAGAATCAGAATCCAGAAGTCCCCATGCATCCTTCCTGTACCACAAATAAAATTCCAACTCTTTGTCATTTAATGAGAAATATGTTGACACGAAAGCATTACTTTTGTTTGTTTGGTGCTGGGGATGGAACCCATGACCTTGAGCAGGCTTCTGGGTCAGGCTGGGAGGGGCAAGCATGGTAGGGGTTCAGATCATGCAGCCCTGCCCCTGAGGATCTTAAAAATTCAAGTCACAGCCAGGCACAGTCATGCACCCCAGTAATCCCAGTGATTCGGGAGACTGAGACAGGAGGATGCCAAGTTCAAGGCCAGCCTTAGCAATKCAGCAAARCTCAAAATAAAAAGGGCTGCAGGTATTCCTCAGCGATCAAGTGCACCTGGGTTCAGTAATATGCTTTACCATAGAATTAATCCCAAGTAGTGTTTATATTTTATAAGATAACAATGCTTTCTCTCCCATTTCCCCAGTGGGGGGAGGGATRAAGAAAAGACAACTGGAAGATGAAGGGATTCTTGACCTATGAAAAGAAATCCAGTTATTGGTACTGCACTAGGGTGGCTTGTGGCCTCTCAAAAGTCTCTAGACCTTATTAGTGACTTTATAGGATAGGCCAGTGCTTGATTCCAMAGTCACATTGTGCTTTGCATGTCCTCTGTTCTCTGCCACCAACGTGTTCCTTGAATACCCCTGCCCCTGGAGAGAGGTGCCAGCCTATTTGGTAGCCTCAGCTGATGGACATGATTCACAGCTACACCAGTGAATACTGAGAAGTGGCTACTCAGAGGACTTCAGCCCTCACTCTCTTCCAGGTGCCTTCTCCATGGCTCTAAGCCAGCCCCATTTATGCTCTCATCCCCTGCCTTCAATCCTCTTCCTTTCCTGTCCTCAGTGCCTCTGATCCCCAAGTCCCATCTCCGCCACATCCTGCCTGATTGTCCCTACAAACCTAGCTACTTGGTGGATGGGCTCCCTCTGCAGCGCTACCAGGGCCTCCGCTTTGTAAGTCTTGGATCTGGGTTTGGGGCAGGACTGGGGAGGGATTATTGGCTGTGACTAGGGTGGGTGGTCCTGAGGCTGACTCCCCAGTTTCCCAAGGCCCCATCCCAGCAGACAGGATGGTCCCACAGGTTCCTGGGCCAGGCAGAACTTCCATTCTACATGGACTAACCCAGACAGACTGTTCTGCAGGGGATGCAAATAGGTGCTGTGCCTTAGGATCCCCCGCCCCCCAACACACACCAACTGCTACAGTGACGATGTCAGGTGGCCTGGCTGAGGCATCCTACAGTCCCTGCTCCTAGAGCCACACATTGTCCTGCTCAGTCCCACTGGCCTGCCAGTCAGTGGCATTTGTTAAGCTCCAATAAGGCACTGGGGTAAAATCAACRATGAGGACCTAGAGCCCATTTAGAGACCAAAGAGGCAGAGTGAACACTGTATATTCAGCTGTGAGATTGTGAGAGAGATGGGGGCAGGAAGGAAGTGGTCAGAGTCATCATGAGGCCTGAGAATTGTTTTTTGCGGCAGTGATCTCGTCTAAGGAGGGCAAAGGAGGCAGTATAGTCAGTAAGAAGAGAGGCTGTTTGGACTGTAGGAGGTGGCAGGAAACCTTCAGAGGCTACAGGAGAAGGAGGGGATGGATTTGGCTGTAGCTGGGGGGTTTGATCCAGAAGAGGAGATGAGGCAATGTGGACTAGACAACTTGACTCAAGGGTGTGTTAGGTCCAGAGGACCCAGGAGAGAGACGTGATGGGTAGAGGAGAATCCCCGGCAGTGTAACCAAACGTTTCATTCAGAGTAGCCCGTTGCTCCCTGCCATAGACAGGTCCCTAGGAGCTCTATATTTTGATAACTAGGGATAGGCTAACCCGGCTAACTAGTTCCTTAACAGGATCCCACCCTCTTCCTTCTGCTTCTGCTTTCTCCACTCCCAGGTTCATCTGTCCTTTGTTTATCCCAATGACTATACCCGCCTGAGCCACATGGAGACCCACAATAAATGTTTCTACCAGGAAAATGCTTACTACCAGGACAGGTAAGTGGCACTGAATGGGGCAAGAAGGTAGCCTTATTCCCCGCCAGGAGAGCTGCTTGGACTAGAGTGGCCCCAAGTGCCCTCCCCGTCCTAGGAGTCTTAGCTCTTCCTGGRTACCTCCCTCCCCCGACACACACACATCCCCTTCCCTAGTCTCCTTCTTCATTCCAGCCGATAGCTGAGCCTGCATGGCACCTGAAGGCAATCCACATCTCTGTTCCTCCTACAGGTTCAGTTTTCAGGAGTACATCAAGATTGACCAGCCAGAGAAGGAGGGGCCCAAGCATCCAGGTACAGAGTGACCGCTGAGGCTTCTGGGTCAGGCTGGGAGGGGCAAGCATGGTAGGGGTTCAGATCATGCAGCCCTGCCCCTGAGGATCTTAAAAACTCAAGGCACAGCCAGGCATAGAGGTGCACTCCGGTAATCTCAGTGATTCGGGAGACTGAGACAGGAGGATCCYAAGTTCAAGGCCAGCCTTAGCAATTCAGCAAAGCTCAAAATAAAAAGGGCTGGAGGTATTGCTCAGCGATAAAGTGCACCTGGGTTCAGTCTCTAGTACTGCAAAAAAAAAGAAGAAGAAGAAGAAGAAAAAATCCAAATTGCATTGACCCCTCCCCTCCCCCAAGGGAATAGAGAACAACATTCTCAACTTTTCCATATCAAGGTACATGTGAAGAATGACACCGTTTTTAACAGCGTGCTAGGGTTAGCTGGCAGAGATTTAGAGCCCTAGAGATTACTTGGATTACTGGAGGGGAAAACGATCCTTGGCCTACCATTTGGGAAGTTTTGCTAAGGAGAGGCCCTTTCTTCTTTTTTTTTGGTGGGTGGAGGTACCAGGGATTGAACTCAGGAGCACTCGACCACTGAGCCACATCCCGGGCCCTATTTTATATTTTATTTAGAGACAGGGTCTCACTGAGTTGCTTCGCTTTTACTGAAGCTGGCTTTAAATTCGTGGTTTTCCTGCCTCATCCTCCCCAGCCGCTGGGGATTACAGACATGCATGGCCTTTCTTCTTGAGGGAGTATGGCATGTCTGAGACCATTTATTGGGTCCTAAAAGGGGTCAGACACCTGCTGTGCACTTTATATACTTTATTAGTGTACTTTTGTTTTTGTGGTGCTGAGGATTGATCCTAGGTTCTCACACGTGTTAGGCAAGTGCTCTATCACTGGGCTACATCCCCAACCCTACTTTATGCATTTATATCACTCAGTCTTCATAATCACCCTCTGAGAGGTGGATTTTTGGAGCCTTAATGCAGATAAAGAAGCTGGGGTTAATTGAAGTTGAAAAACTTTCCCAAGGTCTCACAATTCATTGGCAGAGCCTGGATCCCATCCCCATCTGGAGCCCCTTGGTGTCTCACACGCATCCTCAGCAGCAGCCTTCTCTGTCTTCTTGGGAAAAGGTTGAAAACTCTGATGAGGAATGGTTATTATTAACAGGTTTTGAGGAGGACCTTCTAGAAGAATCCCAGTATGAAGAAGTGGCAGAGGAGACCCCTGCCTCCCAGGACCAGGAGACCAGGATACGAGAGGGAAAACAAATGGTTGCCTCTGTCCCCGGCCAGGAGGTCACTGACTACCGCCTCCGAAGCCTGCGGAAGCTCCTGGCTCAGCCTCGGGGGGCCCCGCCGGCTCCCATTTCCAAGCATAACTCCACTGGTCCCTTCCCAGTGAGGGCCAGTGACATCCCAGTCCTGTCACCAGCGAGGAGGAAGAGAAAACCTACCCCTGAACCCAGCCGAGATTCACCTCATTCTGACAAACGGGCCCCTGGGAACCTGCCTCGAATTAAGAGMCCCAGGCCCACTGGTGACCGACCCCAGAAAACTCTAGAGCAGTCCCAGTGGCTGAACCAAGTGGAATCCTACATTGCAGAGCAGAGAAGGGGTGACAGGATGGAGCCTCTGGCCCCRAAATGGGGTTGGCATGGAGAGGAGGAAGTGGTGGCGGCTGCAGGCCAGGAAGGACAAGCGGAGGGAGAGGAAGAGGGGGAAGAAGAAGAGGAAGAGGATATGAGTGAGGTGTTCGAATATGTCCCTGTGTTTGACCCAGTAGTAAACTGGGACCAGACCTTCAGTGCCCGGAATCTCGACTTCCAAGCCTTGAGGACGGATTGGATTGACCTGAACTGTAACACATCTGGCAATCTGCTGCTTCCAGAGCAGGAGGCCCTGGAGGTCACACGGGTCTTCTTGAAGAAGCTCAACCAGAGGAGCCGGGGGTAAGGTAAAGGGCTTTCCTGGGGCCAAGGGGTGGGGTGCTGCTGGCTGACCAGGAGGGCAGGGACCTGAGTGCTGGTAGCAAGCGCCCCTGCTGCAAGAGAGTGGAATTTCCCTCCCAACCCAGGCTCCTAAGAAGGACAAGTGCCTAGGGCCCCTGCCCCTGCAATGATCGGCACCAGTCAGTCCTTTGTTCCAGTCAGGCAGGTTCTAAAATACCTGGGTATCTGACCCAGGCCCCCAGAGAAGGCTTGGTAGATAGGGTACCCTCCCTCAGAGAGAGACAGAGACAAACAGGAAGAACAGAGGCTAAAAGTACAAATTAAGACCTCAGGGCTAAACCAAGCATGTTGGTATATACCTGTAAATCCAGTGGCTGCTGAGGCAGGAGGGTCTCAAGTTCCAGATCAGCCTTAGCAAGTCGGCAAAGCCCTAAGTAACTTAGCGAGACTCTGTCTCAAATTTAAAAATTAAATAAAAATATGTTAGGGCTCAGTCATGAGGCATGTCTAGGGATGGATATATGTATATATATATTTGTAAATAGATCTTTTATTTTATCTATCTATTTATTTATTTATATGCAGTGCTGAGGATCGAACCCAGGGCCTCGCACATGCCAGACAAGTGCTCTACCCCTGGCCACAACTTCAGCCCCTGGAGTTCTATTTTAAGACAGAATTTCATTTAAGTTGTCCAAGCTGGCCTTGAACTTGTGATTGGCCCTGCTGTAGCCTCCCAAGTAGCTGGGATTACAGACTTCTGCCAYCAAACCTGGCCAATTCATTGGTTTTAAAAGTATATTCACAATATTATGTAATTTTCACCACTAATTCCAGAACATTTTTATTACCTTTATTACCTTTTTTTATAGCCAAGTGCTGTGGTACATCCTATAACCCCAGGAGCTGAGGAGGGTGAGGTAGGAGGATTGCTTGAGTCCAGGACTGGAGGCCAGCCTCGGCAACATAGGAAGAACACTTTTCTAATTAAAAGAAGGAAGGGATTTAAAAGAAACTCTGCATCTGTTTGTGGTTTCTTCTCATTCCTCCCTCCTCCCAGTCCCTGGCAACCACTAATGCACTTTTTATCGCTATAGAATTGCCTATTCTGGACATGTCATATAAATGGAATTATATAATATGTGTCCTTTTGCATCTGTCTTCTTTCACTTAGCAAAATATTCTCAAGGGTCATCCATGTTATAGAACATGTCAGTTACCTCATTCCTCTGTCCTGGTGAATGATATTTCATTGTATTAGATATACCACATTTTGTTTATCCATTCATCAGTTGATAGACATTTGGATTGTTTCTACTTTTTGGTTATTACAGATACATTGCTGCAGTGAATATTCATGTATCAAATTTTGTGTGAACATGTTTCATTCCTCTTGGGTATTTGTACACCTAGGAGTAGAATCTCTAGGTCACGTGGTAACTCTGTGTTTAACATTTTGAGGAATTGCTAAGCTGTTCTCCAAATCAGCCACATCAGCAGCATGTGAGAGTTCCAGTTTCTCTACATCCTCATCTGCACTTGTTATTTTCCATTTTATTTTGTTTTAAATAACCATCTAATGGGAACAAAATGGAATCTCGTTGTGATTTAGGAGTCCTCTCCCAATAATCCACAATGTTTAATATTGTAGAGGTTGGAGGTGGTTGAGTGCTTGCTTAACATGCATGAAGTTAAACACAGCTCAATAAATAAATAAACAAACTTTACTGTAAAATATAAATGCTGAATGCTCCAATTCACACATGGATTTGTCATAAATTTTACTTAGCCCAGATAATTTATATGAATAAATTAAATGTGTAATAAGTTATTGATGTTTTTTTTCCTTAAATGTAATTATAAATTATTGAGTTCTTCACCAGTCATGTAATTATTAGTAATTATTAGTTTTCTTTTTCTTTTTTTCTTTTTTTTTTTTTTTTTTGAGATGGGTCTCACTATGTTGCTCAGGCTAGTCTTGAACTTGTGGACTCAAGTGGAAGACAGGCAACACTACTAGGACGCAGGGCTTTGTGCATGTCAAACATGTGCTTTATCACTGAGCTACATCCCCAGCCTTTTTTTTTTTTTTTCTTAGTTGTAGAAGAACACAATACCTTTATTTCATTTGTTTATTTTTATATGGTGCTAGGGATTGAACCCAGTGCTTCATGCATGCTAAGCAAGCACTCTACCACTGAGCCACAACCTGGCACCCCGACCTTTTTGTTGTTGTTGTTGTTGTTGATGATGCTGGGGATTGAACTCTCCGCCTGGAGCATGCTAAGCAAGCACTCTATCACTGAGCTACTCCACGAGCCCTGCCAGCCATATTTTTTATTTGAATTGATGCTCAGTAACTATGCATAATTATGGGATAGTGTGACAGTTCAATACAAGTATACAGTGTATAATGATTAGAGAAATTGGCATATATCTCTCCTTCCACATTTATCATTTCTTTGTGTTAGGAGCATTTAAAATCCTCTCTACTAGCAAGTTTGAAATAATTAATTAAATTTTTCCACTATATTTATCCTACTGTGCTATAGAACATTACAAGTCATTCCTTCTATCCACTGAACCCCAGTACTCATTAACCATCCTTCTCCATCCCTGCTTTTTCCCCCATCCCCTTCCCAGGCTCTGGTAATCACTGTTCCATTCTCTACTTCTGTGAGATCAATTTTTAGCTTCCACACATAAGTAAGAAAATGCAGTATTTGTCCTTCTGTGCCTGACTTATTTTACTTAACATAGGTCCTCCATTTCCATCCATGTTGCTGCAAATGATAGAATTTTATTCTCTGTATGGTTGAATAATATAATTTTGTATATATTCAACATTTTCCCATTCATCTGAAGATTAGCATTTTGGTTGATTTGATATCTTGGCTGGTTGAATAGTGCTTCAATAAACATGTGAATGTAGTTGTCTCTTCGGCATACTGATTTCAGTTCCTTTGGATGTATGCACAGTAGAGGGATTACTGGATCCTATTGTAGTTCTAGTTAGAGTTTTTGAGAAATCTCCTACTGTTTTCTTTAGCGGTTGTACTAATTTACATTCCCAAGACTCTGTGAGAGTTCCCCTTTCTCTACATCCTGGACAGCTTGTTGTTGTTGTTATATTATGACTTTTTGACAGTAGACATTCTTGTATTTAATATTTTGTTTTAGTTGTAGTTGGACACAGTATCTTTATTTTATTTTTATGTGGTGCTGAGGATCRAGCCCAGTGCCTTGCATGTGCTAGGCCAGTGCTCTACCGCTGAGCCATAACCCCAGCCCTGACGGTAGGCTAAAATGATATCTCATTGTTGTTTATTTGCATTTCCATGATGATTAGTGATGTTGAACATTTTTTTATATACTTATTGTCCTTTTATATATCCTCTTTTAGGAAATCCCTATTCAGGTGTGATGCATGCATATAATCCTAGTGACTCAGGAGGCTACAGCAGGAGGATCTCAAGTTTGAGCCCAGCCTTGGCAACTTAGCAAGGCCCTGTCTCAAAATAAAATAGCCAGTGGTGGGGCTCTTACCTTGCATGTTCAAGGTCCTGTGTTCAATTTCTAGAACTGCAAAGAGAGAGAGGGCAGGGTGTGGAGAGCAGGGAGGGAGAGAAATGTTTATTCAGGTCATCTTTGCATTTTTAAATCATATTATTGAGGTGTTTTTTTTTTTTTTTTTTTTTTTTGCTGTTGAGTTGTTTTGTGTTTCTTATGTATTCTGGATGTTAAACTTTCATTGATGAACAAGTTGCAAATATTTTCTCCCTTTCTGTAGGTTGTTTCTTCACTCATTGTGTTTGTTTTTTTTTGCAATGCTGGGGTTCAAACCCAGGGCCTCACACATGCTAGACAGATGCTTTTCCACTGAGCTACACCCCCATCCCAGAAACTTTTCTCTGACATTTCATCTCCTGTGCTGTCAATGGATTCTGTTATTATAGCATCATGATTTGTTTGGGGCATTTTCTTCCCTTGTTTTTTCATGTTGTTCATGTGTCTTCCTCCTAGGTATTACAGTTTCTACACTATAATTTTGTAATGTCTCTGCAGGTTACCAATACCTCACCTCTGGTGTAACCAGGCCTGTGGGGACCTTGGTGATGGTCTTCCCCATCCTGGCTGTTGTCTCTAGATAGAAACAGGCCAGAACAGCCACGTATTGGTAGATGGGGGGACCGCAGTACCATCGTTCTCCTCCTCTGGGAGTGGGGCCGCATTGGTCTACTCTGCCTCCTCCACTCCTTGGGCAGGGGTTCGGCTCCCAGAAGCTTTTTAGTCTGATGTAATCCCATTTGTCAATTTGTGCTTATGGGGTCATATCTAAAAAATATTTGCCCAGATGAATGTCCTAAAGCTTACTCCTGTTTTCATAGTTTCAGGTCTTAAGTCTGATTCATTTTTGAGTTGATTTTTTTTGTATGTGGTGAGAAATAGGAGTTTTGTTTTATTTTTCTGCATGTGCACATCCTGTTTTCCCAGCACCCTTTATTTCAACAGACTGTCCTTTAGATAATTTGTGTTCTTGCTGCTTTTGATTGGCTGCAAATACCTGGATTTATTTCTGGGTTTTCTATTATGTTTCATGGGTCTGTGTGTCTGTTTTTATGCCAATACCATGCTGTTTGTGATTTTGATTTGCATTTCTCTAGTGACTAATGATGTTGAGCCAACCAGTCAACATATCTTATCAGAATGTTAATTTGAACAAGGAATTTTTATTAACTAGAGTCAATTTATCAAGGAACCTCATCACGGTGACCCCTCATATTCGCCTTGGATACTTAGAATGTTTAAGCTATAAAGGACCTTAGAGATGATCACAGCTCAGTAGGTATGTGTTTAAAGATGGAGGCACTGAGCCCTGGAGAGGTTGTGCAACTAACTTCCCTTGGTCCCTTAGCTTATGGAAAAGCTAGAATAAAACCCAGGGTCTCCTGATAACTGATCTCATGGGCTTCTACCACACATGCTCCCTTCACAGTGCAGGGAGGATTACTCATGTCTCCCACCTTTTCTGCCACAGGAGGTACCAGCTGCAGCGCATCGTGAATGTGGAGAAGCGTCAGGATCAGTTACGTGGCGGTCGCTACCTCTTGGAGCTTGAACTACTAGAACAAGGCCAGCGCCTGGTGCGGCTCTCCGAGTACGTGTCCACACGAGGCTGGCAAGGTATTGATCCAGCTGGTGGGGAGGAGACGGAGGCCCGGAATCTGCAGGGCCTGGTCTGGAGCCCACACAGACGTCGGAGACATGTCCTGAATGTCCGGGATCCAGAGCCCAAGCTTTGCTGGCCCCAGGGTTTCTCATGGAATCACCGAGCTGTGGTCCACTTTGTCGTGCCTGGTAAGCCCCAGGAGGGTGGGGATCCTAATGATAATTATGAGCACCCAGACCTGTTTTCTCTGATTCAATCTCCCAAGAGTTTGTTGAAGAAGACACTTTATAATTAAGGAAATGGAGCCTCCCACACACAAAAAGGAATGAGCTTAAGGTTACATGACTGGTAAATTAACTAAGAATAGGTGCTGACTTGTAGGCCAGTGATCTTTCTTTCACACTAGGTTTCAGAACTGGATGTGATTATGAACTGAGATTGTTGACTAAATAAGATAAGGAGGATACTGTACACAATGGCTTTATTATTATTTATTTATTTCAGTGCTGGTGTTCAAACCCAGGGCCTCAAGCATGCTTAGCAATCACTCCACAACTGAGCCATATTCCCAGGCCTAGAGTGGTTTTTACTGATTTATTTGTTTCTTTTTGGTTCTGGGATTGAACCCAGGGACACCCTACCACTCTGAGCCACATCCCCAGCCCTTTTTATTTTGAAACAGGATCTTGCTAAGTTGCCAAGAGCCTTGCTAAATTGCTGAGGTGGGCTTTAAACTTGCAGTCCTCCTTCCTGCCTTAGCCTACCAAGTGACACGGATGACAGGCGTGCACCACTGTGCCAGGTCCCACATGGTTTTGGTAATGAGAAGGGAAAACTTATAACAGGCAGGAGAATTACAGTATTGCAGGAAAGGATTGAAGGGTAGTAATACAGACAGAAAAGAGGTCTGATGGTTTGCTAGGAGAGAGCTGATGATGAGCCCTAGCCCCAGGCCTTCTCTCAGGGGCCTTCTCTCAGGTTGTTCATGGAGCTGGATAGAGAGGCCAGGTTACTTGTCAGCACTCCCTCTCTTTGGTTCTCTGCTCTTGCTAAATGATTTCCTATAGCCACATTGTTCCCTAAGCAAAGGTCTAGTGGGGACTCCAGACTCACATTGGAGCTTACAGTGGAGATGATCGTCTTTCACTTACCTGTTTCTTTCTTCCTGCCTGGCCCACCGGGGCAGTGAAGAACCAAGCACGCTGGGTGCAGCAGTTCATCAGAGACATGGAGAACCTGTTCCAAGTCACCAATGACCCACACTTCAACATCATCATCACTGACTATAGCAGTGAGGACATGGATATCGAGACAGCTCTGAAGAGATCCAAGCTGCGGAGGTGAGGAGGACCCCTGACCAGGCCACAGCCTGRGCTGGCTCCTTCCTGAAGTCCTAGGCTTTATTCAGTCCAGTGCAGAGCCAGAAGTCCCACCCAGTCACCAGCTTTTCCCCAAGGACTTACCTGCTGATATGAACCCCATCCCAGGAACACTCCATCTCTTCTGTGCTAAAGAAGAGCTTTCCTCTTCCTCCAGGGGACCGCTGCAGATGAGTCCTAATCCTCAGCCCCTGYTTTCTCCTCTTCCTACAGCTACCAGTATATGAAGCTCAGTGGAAACTTTGAACGCTCAGCTGGACTTCAGGCTGGCATAGATMTGGTGAAGGTAATCAGTCTGTAGGGGGCTTAGGAGATGTGATTAGAGACTGGTTAAGAGGTAGAGAGGCATTTGAGATGTGTCAGCTCCTGAAAAGGGAAGGGTATGGGGACACATTGGTATTAGTCCCACAGTCATATTTTGTTACTACAACAAAATACCTGAGAGAATCAACTTAAAAAGAAAGACAGGTTTGTTTTATCTCATTGTTTCAGAGCTTTCAGTTCATAGTCACTTGGCCCCATTGCCTTTTGTCCAGGGTTGATGCAAAACATCATTGTGGAATGAAGGACGTTCCTCACTTATTGGTGGCCAGAAAACAAAAGAGAGATACAAAGGGACCAGAGTCCCAATACCTCCTTTAAGGGCACTAGCTCCCCCCACACAGGCCCACCTCCTAAACATTCCACTGGCTTCCTAGAGTGCTACAGATGGGCCACCAAACCTTCAGCTCWTGCATCTTTGAGGGACACTTATCCAAAGCGTAGCCAGGAGCATTTTCCCTGCTATGCTGCAGGCCCAGGCCAAGTGTGGGACTAAGCAAATGACAATGGAGCATTTGTCCAGAGTCCTCAGAGCCCACAAAAATTGGGGGGAGTCAGAATTCACTGTTGGATGGTAAGAACTCTGTTCTGATGCTCAGTGGTGTGGAAACCCGCCCAGTGGTTAGTTCTGTGCAAGTTTGTTAGTCATTCTAATGGAGAAGAGCCTGGGGATTCTCCTAGAGAGTGGCCTCCCACCAGCCCTCTGCTGACCCTGCACCCTCCCCCTACTTTTTTTTTCTTCCATGGTCATGCAGCTCTTGGTTAAAAGGGCTGCCAGTGGGAGGCAGGTGGCCCCAGTCATGCACAAGCCTGTACTCTGGCTCTGCAGCCTGATCCCCAATGCAACGCACAGGCACAGCTGACCCTGCCCTTTCTGTCCCCAGGACCCACACAGCATCATCTTCCTCTGCGACCTCCATATCCACTTCCCTGCTGGAGTCATCGATACCATCCGGAAGCACTGTGTGGAGGGGAAGATGGCCTTTGCCCCGATGGTGATGAGGCTGCATTGCGGAGCCACCCCACAGTGGCCTGAGGGTGAGCCCTGCTCTGAGCTAGGGAAGAGGAAAAACCTTTGTGGCCTTGGTTCTCAACCTCAGAGCTGGAAACAGTCATATTTGTGAACATCGTCATCCTCTTTTCCTGCCCTGCCCCCCCCCACCATTACCTTTGCGCCTCCGGACAATCCAGAGAGAAGTGCCCCGAGCTGTGCTGACAGCCACAGCCAGAGATGCAGCAGTGAACATTTCCCACCCATCTTCCCCTTCATTCATTTGCCAAACATTTATTAGAAATTTAATGTGTGTTGTGTGCTGTGCCCCTGTGAGGATATGAAGGTGGGAAGAGGAAAATGCAGTAAACTGACCTGCAGCTGTGTGTTGTGTGGCTGCTGTTGTCAGATCCTGTCACCAGCCTGTGGTCAGTGCTATATTTGGTGGACCCTAACCTTGGTTAGAGGGCTTCTGCCCAAACAGGCAAGGGACCTGTTCAGCTAAAACAGCATTCAGCTTTAGTCACCCCCACCCTCCCTCTTTCAGAAAAGCCTCTAAGAGCACAGCCCAGAAGCCTTTTGCATTTCTTCCTTTTGACCGTGGCTCATCTCACCCGGAGCTTCTTGTCTGTCCACAGGCTACTGGGAGGTAAATGGATTTGGGCTGCTTGGCATCTACAAGTCAGACCTAGACAAAATCGGGGGCATGAACACTAAGGAGTTCCGAGACCGCTGGGGTGGAGAAGACTGGGAGCTGCTGGACAGGTGATTCGGGAAAGGAGGGCGTCCAAGACATCTGCTGGAATTGCATTCCATACTGTGCTCTAAGGAAGGAACAGAGCTGGATCACCCAGCTGGGCCCCTTGGCTGCCGATTTCCCCATGAACAAGTAAAAGGCACGGGTTCTGAGGAAGCTCTCAGGTGACTGCCTCACACACACTCTGTAAGCTAGCAGAGAGGAATGATACTCCTGCCGTCTGTGTCACAAGGCTGCTGTGACAATTAAACTGCTCAGTAAACTGTCAGAGGAAAAGCAAAAACAGTTGATCTGTAAAAGTTCAAGTGGTGATGTTCCCAGCACCAGGTGAGGCGCTCTGGCGAATATAACTGCCTCGTCCCTAAACTGGGTAGATCTCCCCACCACAGCTGCCAGAGGCTGTGTGGAAATAGATAAGGGAGACACAGGCCAAGGGTCAGGAAAGACTTTGGGGTTCACAAAAGAAGCATTGAAGGACAACAAGATATCCAGGAGGTTGTGGGATTTGGGGAGTTAGTGGGGGAGGAGATTTAGAGAAGAGGTAATAGCCTCAGAGAAGAAGGGGAACATAGGAGAACACAGTACAGGCTGTAGGCGTGGTAGGAGGGCTGGGAGCGAGTGTTTTAGCAGGGAGCCAGATTGTGCAGTGAGAACTGGGGATGTGGCTCTGGGGTGTGTACCTGGCACACATGAGGCTGATGAGGCTATGGGTTCAAGCTTTGGAACCGAAAAAAAAAAAAATGTGCAGTGACATCAAGTTTAGGGGAGGAAGGAACATAGGGACAGTGAGGAAGTTGCTGCCTATAATTGCATGATATTCCTCTTTTAAGAAGTTTGCTRCCAAGAGAAAGGGAAGGAAAGAGGTACCTTGAGAGTTGAGCTTAAGAGGAAGGAGCAAAGGAGAAAGAGGGGGAGGAAAGGGTTTAGTTACTGGAAGGGTGACTGGAGGAGGAGGAGGACAGGGCAAAGTCAGGAGCACCTGGGGCAGGGGACCTTGACAGAGGCATGCACTTCTTCCTGAGAGATGGGACAAGATGCAGCCCCCAGTCACTGAGCACCTGTACTTGGCAGGTGACTCACACGTTCCTTTGTTTCTCTCTCCCCAAACCCCTGTGTGGTAGGTGTAATTTTCTCCGTTTTTCAAAGGAGAAAACTGAGTCATGARGAGTAGGTAATAACTTGCCCCAGATCTTTCCCATTTAAGTGTCAGAAGCTTAAAAACTAGGCCTGTGTATGATTTCCCCCAAGATGGAAGGTGACAATGCCAAGAGAACTGAAAGTGAAAAGGGGGATGTTGAGGGGTGTTATGTCAGATAACTCAGATCTCAGAAAACTAGATCAAAGTTGATCTCAAAAGTTGGGAAGCCCAGTATAGTGGTTACTATCACCCTTGATCTTTGTGCTGTGCTTTGTGTGTTTTTTTTTGTGTGTGTGTGGGGGGGCTTCTTGTTCTTGTTTTGGGGGCGTTTCTTTTTTTTTTTTTTCCCCTTTGCAGTGCTAGGGATAGAACTCAGGACCTCACACTTGCTAAGCAAGCATTGTACCACTGAGCTACCTCCCCAGCTGTTGTTATTTTACATTGAGACAGGATCTGCCTAAGTTATCAGGGCTAGCCTTAAATTTGGGATTCTCCTGCCTCAGTCTCCACAGTCTCTGAGGTCATAGGTGTGTGCCACTGTGCACCCAGCTGGGCTTTGTGCTTTGACACAGATGTCTGTCATGATTCTTAACTTGCCTGCTTCCTGTAAGGCCCAAAGAGAATGAATCTGTTTCCAATTCCAGCTACTTGCAGCTCTGTCAGAAGTGCAGGCCTCCTTGTGAAAGGGTCACCCAATGGGCTATGCAAATAGAAAAGGAACAGGGAGGGCTGGAGATGCAAGGGGCCCGGGGTTCCATCACCAGCACTGAAAGAGAGAGAGAGAGAGAGAGAGAGAGAGAGAGAGAGAGAGAGAGAACAGAGGCAGGGCCTGTAGATAGAATCTCCAACTCTAGCCCTTTGACTCTCTCAGATACTACCATTGAGTGCCCTGTGAGCTGAACTGCTGTTACTAGGCATCAGGAACTGTGTTTTACATCCATCATATCTACTTATGTGTATTATATTATGTATAATATGTRTGTATATGTGTATGTATGTTGGAAGTAGTGGTGAAGACTAGAGATGATGGATGCAAATAGCACATATATTTATAAAATTGTTATCCTCTTTCTAAAGATAGCAAACAGGTTCTGACAGGTGACGTGACTTGCCCAGACACGTTGCTGGGATTCTAACACCAGCAGCTGGGCTTCAAAGCCCGCACTCTTTCCACTACACCCAACTTCCTCCGTTCCACGGGAGGTGACCAGGGGAAGGAGGAACAGGGTCTGACGCAGATGTGAGAGGCTCAGTTCCTCAGGGGCCCGAGCTGCTTCCCAGTTGCTGTGTGTGCTTCCGTGGGCTCATCCTGCCCCTCCCTCTTTCAGGATCCTCCAAGCAGGCCTGGAAGTGGAGCGTCTTTCCCTCAGGAATTTCTTCCATCATTTCCATTCCAAGCGAGGCATGTGGAACCGACGCCAAATGAAGATGCCGTAGTCCCTGGAGCCACATGCAGCTCCTTGACTTGCTGTTGTTCCCCAGCGCCCCTGCTCGCTGCTGGAGAAGGGGAGGGCAGGGGGGCAGAAGCGATGGCTAGGCCCCGAGAGGCCTCAGAGCCAATTCCCCTTTCCACCGGGAGCTGTCCCCTCATGCAGAGACAGGTGCCAAGACTCCTCTGCCACTCACTCAATCAACAGAGAGAGAACGGCTCCTGAGACGGGGCAGCCAGGTCAAGGAAGGATAGACCTGCTTGAGCAATACTGTTGTTATCCATGAAGGTGCATTCCAGTCACCCCCCCCCCATGCTCCTCTTGGGAGTATTGGCCATTGAAACTGGAAACTTCTGCTGGACATATTTTAATGGGGGGTTTATTTTTTTAACCAGAGAACCAAAACTGCTGTTCAGACCCAGCATTGACTGCGAATGGGGTGAAGTTGTACATTGAAGGAGTAATCCCAGTCGCAGATTCCAGATCCATTTGTGTGTAGAGATGTGTCCCTAGGGCACGGTCCCTTCCAGAGGTGCTGGCCACACGTGGAGCAGGTCTAGCTCTAGCCCAGGCTTGTGCCTTCTAAACACACATACATTTCTCCTGGTAGCCCCTGAACCGTAGGCCGTTGGTTAGGGCATTAACCTCATCCCTCCAGGTGGCACTAGCTTCAGACCGGAAGCACAGAACTGGCAGCCAGGTCCAGGTACAAAGGTGGGGTTGGGAGATGGGGAACTCATGAGCATTGGGCTTACCTTGCCCAGGGTTGGACATATGGGCCATGCAGAACCCACAAGATGAAAAAGACCAGAGACAGATGCCCCTTTCCTTCCCAGCTCACCTGTGAGATAAGGCCTCTGGAAAGGATAGAAAGAGGCCAGCAAAGAGGATGTGGACGTAATCCATCAACTTTGTGTAGATGAGAAGAGGAGGCAGAAATCAGGCAGAGAGGGATGGAAAGGGAAGTGGAAAACTTGAATCCCAGAAGCCCAGCTCCCCTATGAATTTGCCCTCCTGCAGGGAGAGCCCCAGCTGCTTGTCCCTGAGGGGAAGAGGAGGAAGGGGTGTGGGTGAAACCTCAGACCTTGAGACGGGAAGTGGGCAAGGCAAGAGGTGTGGGGAGCTGAGGGTATTGTCCTGAAAGGTATCTTCCCCAAGGGGAGGGGAGCAGGAGGAACTGAAAAGTAAAGCAGTTTCAGGGAAAATCACCCTTGGCCTTTTCAGTCTGCGACCACCCTTTATGTCACCTGATGATCATGCACTTATCTTGCACTAATAATCCCCGGGTGCTTTTGTGGCTGGGGACTTTTCTACTGCTGCTGTTGAATTCACCAATGGTGCATTGGATGCTGGATCTTGAACTCCAGAGTCTGTGGACTGAGCTGAGCACAGGGCCTCCCTGTTGGGAGGTGCAGCGGGGCCCAGGAGCTCCCTGCTGTGACAGTCTACATCACAACGTTCAGAGCTAGGGTCTACCTGGTGGGCTCTGCATTCACCAAGAGCAAAACCRTGGCATGTGGGAGGACGGAGCCCATGGAGAACCTTCTGGACTTTGGAGAGAWTCCTGCCTTCCTCTAAGGAATCAAGAAGGACAGAGACGTTTCATTAATAGGCCATGGCTTGTATGCCATACCTGCCCCCCTGGGCGGTGGCTTTTACTGGTCCCTGCTCAGGACTGTACCCTCTGGAAAGGACCGCATAGGAGGTAGGCTAGGACTGCAGTTGGCTGATTGGGGTGCCAGCTTTCGTTTTAGGGCCACTCTTATTCTTGGCATTGCACTGGAGGCAACAGTCCCAACAGCCCTCTTTATCCACCTCTCCTAAGGACCAGGAGCCAGCCCAGCCTTCCCTGCCCTGCCCACACCCCTCTGTCCTTGGGCCAGTGCCTTGTGTTTGATGTCTGTTACCTCCCCACCATCTGCCTTAATGAGAAGGGCCGGACATGGCCCCTACTCTGTAGAGAAATGTCTTGGGTGAGGGGAGGGAGTGGGTGAAGGGAGGGAAAGCATTAAATACAGCATCTTCTTAGAAAACAAATGGCTCTTGTGTTTTCCTGTTGCCCATCATGGAAGAGGGTTGAATTGAGGGGCACAAGGATTGCATCTCCATCCCTCTGAGAGGTATGCCGAGGACCTCCCTCACTGCCCTCCACCCTTGCTGCTAGTTTGGGGAAGTTGCCGAGTTCTATGCTGTGGTTTGTTCAAGGATGTAACATTGTCCTTGGTGTCTCACAGTCTGATAGTAGACCAGGCATTTTCTGTTCAGTAAATTAATGGAAATTGGCCATTCAGCTGAGAATGACTATAGGCACCCTGGGTGAAGAAGGCTAGCTATCGGGCCAGATGGTTTGGTGAGCAGTGGATAAGAGCCAAGGGGTAGCTTATTCTAAGTTAACAGATGGGGCTGTGGTCCATGCCTGTAATCCCAGAGATTCAGGAGGCTGAGGCAGAAGGATCATAAGTTCAAGGTCAGCCTCAGCAACTTAGTGAGACACTATCAAAATAAAAAATAAAAAGGGCTGGGGATGTGGCTCCGTAGTAGAGAACTCCTGAGTTCAAACCCTGGCACTGCAAAAATAAATAAAAATTAATTAATTAATTAATTAATTAAAATAGCAGATAGGGCTGGGGATGTCGCTCAGTGGTAGAGTGTTTGCCTAGCATGTGCAAGACCAATAAAAATGAAAAATCACTTCTGTTTGCAAGTTGACTGTCCTCGTTGTATTTGGCCCGAGCGAAGATCAAAATTTGTATTTAGTAAACATGTGCTTAAGAGACACTTTGGAGGTGGGGGTACTAGGGATTGAACCTAGGGGCTTTACCACTGAGCTATACCCCCAGCCCTTTTAATTAATTTATGTATTTTCATGTTGACACAGAATCTCACAAAGTTGCTTAGGGCCTTGCTGAGTTGCTGAGGCTGGCCTGAAAAATTTGCGATCCTCCTGTCTCAGCCTCCCCAATTGCTGGGATTATAGGTATGTGCTACCACACCCAGCAGGAGACACTGTAATGCGAAAGCTATTACAGGTTTCAGTAGGTCCTTGAAAAGGTTTGTGCATAAATGCATTAGTCCAGAATTGACTGATCTGTGATTGAGGTAGGAGATATCATAATCCCTTTCCAGGACACAGAGAGGGCATTCAGACCACCAGCCTGGACACTGGAGCCTTCACAACTGAAGACGAGGAGATTGACTCTGGATTCACAGAGATTTTTATAGATAGAAGTTAATCCATTTTACACAAAGGGAGAACTGAGGCCTGGCGCAGAGGGAAGGCATGGGGTGGGGTTGGGACCAAAGGCTTGATCTCACATTAACCTGCCGTAGGCTCAGGAGATGCTGCCAGGGGGGGAAGATTGGCAGTACTGGAGTCAGAGCTCAGGAATGCGGAACAAGTTGGAGTCCCTTAGACCTGTAAAGTATCACATCTTTATTCAGGTGCTACAGGGAAGAAGCCAGCACAGCTATATTGCTCTTTTAGAAGCTCTCCCAGGGGCTGTGGAAAGTGCCCATTAGCCTGGCAGATCAAGGAGGAAGGAGGCAGAAGCAGTTCCAGGACCAGTACCTGTAGAGGAAGCAGACAAGAGGCAATGAGGAGAGCAGACAGACCAGTGCTCCTCAGACTTGGATGCAGACACTGTTCACCTGGCAGTCTTACTAAAATGCAAGTGCTGATCCCATGAATGGAATGGAGGCCGGAAGTCCTGCATTTCTAAAGCCGGCTCCCCAGTGATTTTGTAGATTCTTCTGGCTCACGGACCATAATCTGAGTAACAAGAGCTGCTAGACAATACCAAAGAGACATTTCATGTTTCTGTCTTTCTCTTGCTAGATGGGCTGAACCAAACACTAGCCACATTAGCTTCCAGCCCACCCCAGGCTGTGGAATAATCTGAGCCTAAGAACTATAGGAGTCACTCATTGGGAGAAGGGACTTAGGGTAGGTCTTATTAAGAACCAGTCCCCTGCCTGGCACGGTGCCACACGCCTGTGATCCCAGCGGATGGGGAGGCCGAGACAGAAGGATCACAAGTTCAAAGCCAGCCCCAGCAAAAAGCTAGGCGCTAAGCAACTCAGTGAGACCCTGTCTCTAAATAAAATATTAAAAAAAAAAAAAATAGGGCTGGGAATATGGCTCAGTGGTCAAATGCCCCTGAGATAAATCCCTGGTACCCTCTTCCCCCCTCCAAAAAAAAGAACCAGTCCCCACTCTTCAAGACACCCCTTTGGCCCTAGACCTATAGGCCTTCCCCTTTGGCTTAGCAAGGGAGATTCTTCTTACCCCAACCCCCAGAGGGGACAGATGGGCCACCTGGGGGAGCTCTTAGATCAGGAACCTCCCATTCTTCCTCACCTAGGTCCCAGGCTGTGCTCAAAGGGGATTCCTTGAGGCCCTGGCAGTCAGGAAGCCTGTCTTTTGTGCCCCAAAGGCTGTAATGAAGACGTTGATGACAACAGTGATGAAGACCAAGGTGGTGGCCGCATTGTTGAGCTGGTTTAGTCGCCATTGCTTCTGCACCTCGTTCAGGTTCAGCCGTGCTGTGGAGGAGTAGGGAGCGGGGAAGTGAGGATCAGAGCAGGAGCCACACCCTGGAGCTTCCCTCCCCACATGCACTAGCTTGGAGAAAGTCTGGCACTTCAGAGATCCACCTGGCAGAAATCAAGGGAAGTGGTCATTGTTGGGCTGAGATTGAAATGCCTTTGGCCCTCCTGACAGCACATGGTACTTCATGGGATAGGATTTGGGAATTTAAACAGGTTCTTCCAARAGTGGAGATGAATAATCACGAAATACTATAGGGAGCTGGGTGCAGTGGCACATGCCTGTAATCCAGCAGCTCAGGAGGCTGAGGCAAGAGGATCACAAGTTCAAAGCCAGCCTCAGCAATTTGGTGAGGCCCTGAGCRATTTAGCAAGACCCTGCCTCAAAATAAAATACAAAAAAAAAAAAAAAAAAGGCTGGGATGTGGCTCAGTGGTTAAGCACCTCTGGGTTTAATCCTCCATACCAAAACCAAAAACCAAAATGCCTGTAGGGAACTCTGCCACAGTGAGTAAAGATAGTCATTTGGCAGGTATTGTGGAGTGTCCATCTTCTGGGATATCAGGATAGAATAGATTTCTAGTCTTGCTGAACAGGAGTTATTTGTGCACTTGTAGGTGCAGTGGGCTAACACTAAGTATCTAAATTGGCATGTGCCAACCCAGGGGACTGGCTCCTCACCAATGACAACCAAGAGGATTCCGATGACCACCTGCAGGAGCAGAGAGATGCTGATGAGGGTGACAAGGGCAGTGTAGTAATGAGAGGACGGTCCCTGCTCAAGCACCGCTTTCAGCCGTGTGGCATTGGACATGAAGAGAGCCACATCCAGCATGCTCTCTGCCACACTCTTCTTGGTGGCATAATGGTTCAGGTTGATGGGTTGGTTCCTCCTGGGGTTGGAGTTCCCAGGCTGTAACGGAGAAAGCACAGACTTAACCTAGGAAACTTCAGAAGGGAAGCAGTGGAGAGACTGGAAAGTGGAGAGAGATTTTAATTCCCTTCCCAAAGCAGGTGGGAATGCCCTCACCATTGATGGTGAGSCCCTGCATGGTTTATGGGTTTATGGCTTGAAGAAGAAGAAAGGGCTACTGGGCATTGTGGCCCAGACTTGCAGTCCCAGGTCCTCGGGAGGCTGAGGTGAAGGGTCTTTTGAGCCCAGGAGTTTGAGATCAGTCTGGACAACATAGGGAGACTCTGTTTCAATAAATAAGTAAGCACAGACAAAATAAATTCATATAATAAACAAAAGAGGGCTGGAGTTCTGGCTCAGCAGTAGAACACTTGCCTAGCAACACCTGTGAGGCCCTGGGTTCAATCCTCAGCACCACATAAAAATAAATAAATAAAATAAAGGTATTGTGTCCAACTACAACTAAAAAATAAATATTTTTAAAAATAAACAAATAAAACATTGGACTACAGAAACTTTGAGCTCTGAAGTGATGCTATGCTGTGACGTCTACTTTATGGAGGACCACTTTCCCTCAYACCTTGATACATCCAGCAATAGGTGATTTAAAGGTTGGGTAAATTGGAATAGATGCCTTTTCTCCCAAAATGACATGGTCCCAAGGGAGGGTGCATAGCTCAATGAATTAAACATGAGCTGCCTTTCAATCCACTCAGTCCCTGAACTAAGAACCCTGGAGCCTCAGCCCTGTTCACAAACATATTGTCCATTAAGTATAGGCTGTCAGAATACATGTATGTAAACATGTATATATACACACAGTAATTAGTGCATGCTAGTTAAAAACTGTTTTTTATTTTTCAATACCAAGGATTAAACCCGGGGTGCTATACCACTGTGCTACWTCCCCAACCCTTCTTTTATTTTTATTTTTATTTTTAAGACAAGGCCTTGAACTTATTTTAAGACAAGGCCTTGAACTTCTGATCCTCCTGCCTTAGCCTCCCAAGCTAATTTAATATTTTAAATAATTTTTAGCTAGGGCTTATTAAAATGTAATTTATATTTGATTTTGGAATATAAAATAAAACTGTTATTCTCAAGAATCCTCTAACTCCAAGGATGTAATCGAAATACAGGGCATATGGTAAGGGCCTCTGGGGTGGTCCAAGAAATTCACACTGGATGCTGCAGGCCATCTGCAGTCATTTAAGAACACTTGGGAGATTGACTTAGCAGTGGTGCTTAGGATAAATTGAACCAGGATGGACCAGATGTAAGGAGACTCATTTAAGCATTATGGTCTTGTGGTCTCTGAATGTGAGTCAGTGGTAGAGTGCTTGCCTAGCATGGTGAGGCCCTGAGTTGATTCCCAGCACTGCATAAAATATATAAAGCTTATGGTCTTGATTTAGGGTGAATATGAGAGGGAACTGAAGTGGCTGGTCATGAGAAGGGAAAGGAAGAGAAAAACGTGAAAGATGTGACTGCTTGGAGGTAGGGAAGCTGACCCAGAAGGTCACCATAGCAGGATGGCTCTCTATTTGGGTGGATGGAAAGACAGATGGACAGATGGTCTGGTGGATGGAAGGATGGATGAATGGATGGATGGGTGGGTGGGTGGATGGGGCAGGTTCAGAGGATCTGGGTGTGTCTTATACTCAGTGTGACCACAGCAAGGCACTTCACTTTTCTGTTTAACAGGTAATTACAGAGGTAAGTTAAGATGGAGGAGAAACCTATGTAACCAGAACTTTGGACTGTAAGAACCCTGAAAATGTTCTGAAATGCAGCGATCTCCACACTTTCTTTTTGTGGTGCTGGGGATTTAACCCAGGGTCTTGTGTATGCAGGGAAAGTTGGTAGAGCGCTACCAACTGAGCTATATCCCCAGCCCCTCCAAACTTTTCTGATAGCATCATCTCAGAATTAGCATTAATAATTGTTTTGGGTCAGGCACACTATTGTCATCCCAGTAAGTTAAGAGACTGAGGAAGGAGGATCACAAATCTGTCCTAAGTCAATGAGGATCACAGTTTGGAGTGGGGGTGGGGGTACAGACTATTGTTATTTGTAAATTTCACTTTTTAAAATTTTGTTTATTTTTTAAAATATGTATTTGTTAGTTGTAGTTGGACACAATACCTTTCAGGGTTCTTAGTTCAGAGACTGAGTAGATTGAAAGGCAGCTCATGTTTAATTCACTGAGCTATGCACCCTCCCTTGGGACCATGTCATTTTGGGAGAAAAGGCATCTATCCCTATTCTTTCACGGTTCTCTCTTCCTTTCCCTTCTCATGACCAGCCACTTCAGTTCCCTCTTGTATTCACCCTAAATCAAGACCATAAGCTTTATATATTTTATGCAGCCTTGGCCACTTGGATTGGGGATGTAGCTCAGTGGTAAAACACTCTGAATGTTTTACCAATTTAAGGTATCACAAAACAAACAAAACAGAGCAACAACAAAAAAACCCACCTCTAATCCACACATTCTTTTTGTTGCAGACTGAACCAAGTCTGTCCTAAGTCAACAGAAAGGGGTCCCTGTCTCCCAGTCCTCCTAAAGTTTGCCTTTGAAGTTCAGCCTCTATGTGACCTTCATTTTTAAACACCAGGCCCCTCACTCCCTTTGCCAGGAGGATCCATATATCTAGTCAAGGAAGGTTCTGGGTCACAGGGATGTCAACAAAGAGCACCTGCCCTGATAGATGGCATCAGTGCTGGCCACGTGCGTGCCTTGAGACTTCTGTTTCCAATGCACCCACGGGAAGATCCAAGCACAAAGGAACCACTCTGGGGAAGTGGTTGCACATTATCAAATCATCAAAATCTGTATATACTCAACTTCCAGGTACAGTGGTGCACTTTGGCCAGATTTATACACTTTTCCTCAGGAGGTGAGAATGGAGACTCATGGGCACCATTCATTCAACACAGTTTGACCATACATGTCAGGTTGTGCTCAGGACTGTGTATCCCCAAGGTGGGATAAAGCATTTTGCTACTTCTTTCCCAGGTCCCTGATGAGCACTGACCCATTGGGCTGCTGGTCATTCATACCAGACCCTGGTTGCCAGTTATTTTTCACAGGTACCAACATCAGCCTGGGGCCCAGAGCCTAGAGAAATAGGAAACAGGGCTGTAGACATGAAGGAATAGAGTACCTGCCTCTGTTATTCCTTTCTGTTAGATTTTTCTGGGGCCTGAGTTTCAGCCAGTACTGGGGGCTGTGAGTTGGAGGTGGTGGGGATAGTGTCGGGATGAGGACCTGTGTGGACCTGGGAGGCCACACACCTCATTCGGAGCCTTTGGAAATGAGTGCCAAGCCAGTCTGGGCTTGTCGGGGACCAACAGTCTGGTTGATTAGGGACAGAGATCCCAGGGCCAACACTTCACAAAGGCCAGAGGTCATTTACAACCTGTGGTCCTAGCCCATTCCCGTCACTATGAGAGTCTCTGATTCAGCCACCCACCTACTTGTTCAGAGTACTTCTACCCAGTTCCTGCCCCATGCCCACTCACTCCTCCTCTTCCCACCCTACACTCGAATTTGTTCAGTAGCTTCTTCCTTCCAAACCCAATTAGAAAGTTCAAAATCTGATAGATCTATCTAGCTTCGAGGGAGACACCTTTCTCTGAATATTTGCATATGAAGAGTAGACAAAACCTTAAACTCAAACCTCTAGCAGTGTTTTCAGCACTGACTAAATAAATAGTGATAGGAGGAGTACTTGGGAACAGAGAGACCTTCCCCAGCCTCTACCTAAAATATCCCGATCTGGACATAGCCTTGGTGGTGCATATCTTTAATCCCAGTGACTCAAGTGCTGAGGCAGAAGGGTTGCCAGTTTGAAGCCAGCCTCAGCAACTTAGTGAGATCCTAAGCAATTTAGCAAGACCCTGTCTCAGAATAAAAAATAAAAAAGGTCCTGAGATGTATCTCAGTGGTAGAACACCCTGGGTCCAATCTTCAGTTTGGAGTGGGGGTGGGGTAGAGACTATTGTTATTTGTAAATTTCACTTTTTTTTTCCAGCTCTGGAGATGGAGCCCAGGGCGAGTGCTAGGCAAACACTCTACCACTGAACTACATCCCCAGTCTCTGCAAACTTTTAAGAGCTGGTTGGCTTCTGTTGAACCTAATTGGAAAGCCCTGAGCTTCACAGAGTTGTGGAAATTCACAATGAGTTTAGGAGGTGCAGGCCTCAATCTCATCCTCTACTAAATCCAAGACCTCTTCCTCTCCTCTCTAAATTCAATTTAAGGAGTGCTGATTTTGGACTGCTTCTAACTGAAGGTGCTTTTCCAGGGTCTGCTTAAGGTGGTGACCCCGGTGAGGTGCCTGTCCTCTCTCATCTTCTCAAGGCACCAGTTCTCCAGAATGTCCACATGGTGGCGTGCAGGATCCAAAAAAGCAGCAGGATGGCATTTCTGCCTCCAGGAATCCACTGACAGGATAGGACTCCTGGGAGGCCCGGGATGGGAGCCTGAAAAGGACACAAGTCTGAATAGGTCAACCGAAAACCAACCAGACCTGAGTGTCCAAGGAGAGTTCAAGAATAAAACCAATACTGCCAAGTGCAGAGGTGCACACCTCATTCTGTCAGGAGAACGAGGCAGGAGGATCCCAAGTTTGAGGCCAGCCTCAGCAATTTAGTGAGACCCTAAGCAACTTAGCAAGACCCTGTCTTAAAATAAAAAATAAAAAGGTTGTGGCTCAGTGGTAAAGAAAGAATAAACCAATACACAACCAGAGAAACTCCACATCATATACAACCACAAGAATGGGATCCTAATTAGAATAAGTTAAACTCCATGTATGTATAATATGGCAAAGTACTGTCATGTATATCTAAAAAAGAACATTTTTTAAAAATAGCATTATGGAAAAAAAGAAGAGGAAGAAACCAATACTATCACGTGTAGCGGTGCACACCTCTAATCCCATGGACTCGGGAGACCCAGGCAGGAGGATCATAAATTCAAGACCAGCTTGGGC